CATACAGTGTATAACCCTTTGTGTCTGTTTTCTTGCACCGGTGTAAGAGTTTTGATATTCATCGGAGTTGCATGGAGGAATAGTTCCTTCTTTCTTGCTTAGCGCTGTTCCCTTGTACGGATGCACCACAGTTAGTTGACACATTCACCTGCTGCTGTTTGGAGCTTTTTTTAAAAAATATTTTATTTATTTATTTGAGAGAGACAGAGAAAGCATGAGAGGGGAGCAAGTCAGGGGGAGAAGCCGACCCCCGGCTGAGCTGGGAGCCCGATGTGGGACTTGATCCTGGGAGGCCGGGATCACGACCCAAGCCGAAGGCGGTCACCCAATCGATTGAGCCCCCCAGGCTGGGACTGTGATGAATAAAGCCTCCACAAACGTTCTTGCATCAGCTTCTGGTGGCTGCCGGGCTCCTTAGCTTGTGGCCACATCACTCCGATCTTCACATCTCTGTTCTGTCTTCCTCTGGGCCTCTCCTCTGTGTGTAGAAGCTCCCCCTGCTTCCCTCCTGTAAGCATGCGCGTGACTGCACGTTTGATCCGGAGGACCGGCTCTGTCCCTGCCGCATCACCCCCACCCTGGCCATAAGGCTTGATCCCTCCTACATCAGTTTCTCCATCTCAGACTTCTTCAGGTTGCAAGCCACTAGCTTCAAGCTCAGTGCACTGAAGACCAGTCTTCGGGAATGATCGAGAACGATACTCTTCTTCAACAGCGATAAGCTTTAGGACACTCCGTGTCGGCGAGGGCAGGTTTCACAGTTTGGGAAGATTGGAGGGCATTTTGGTTGGCTGGTTGTCATTTTGTCTTTGTAAGAGTGTTTTCTCTCTCTCTTTAAAAAAGACTTATTTATTTATTTTAGAGAGAGAGAGAGAGAGCACGTGGAGGGGAGGGGCAGGGGGAGAGGAAGAGAAACTGCAGCCGACTCTGTGCTGAGCACGGAGCCAGATGTGGGGCCTTGTGCGGCTTGACCTGATGACTCTATCATGAGCTGAGCTGAAGCCAAGAACTGGATGCTTAACTGACTGTGCCACCCAAGCACCCCTGGAAGGGCATTTTCTAGAGTGGTCCATTTGCCTCTGCAGCCGTACGAGTGGGAGAGTGAGAGGTCCTTGACTAACGGAGGGATGGAGAGGAGTGTCAGCGGGGCCGCAGCCAAGGAGGCGGGGGCCGGAGACAAGTCACTAGAGTACCGTCGTGACTCAACATTTTCTCATTCAATAATCTATTCCAGAACGCATTGAAGAATATATTCGTCAGTTTGTATAAATATGTTAATGACTTCATAACCGTGAAGAGTATATTCACGAACATGTACTTGAACGTTCTTGTGTCTGAACCCTTCACATAAATGGAGAGACGGGCATGCAGAATGTCCTTTCAAGGGGGCACCATACTGCCTCCCCGCCTGTGGGCATTGTCTCTTCTCCATAAGGAGTAGGGCAGAGCCCGATATTCCCTGAAACACGGTCATGAACCAGCTCTTGACAAACCGGCTTTCAGCAAGTGATTGTTCGGCTCATCACCTGCCTGGGCGATGACTCCATGTGGGTGTCAGTCAAGTGCTTGAAGCAGGACGAAACTGACCTCCTTGCCTCATATTTCCTGTCTTGTGCGACAGCACCCCTGGTTATGCCCTGTGTGTGCCGGAGCCCTGTGATCTGACTGGGCACCGCGCCCCAGCCCTTCTGTGCCCCCAGGGCTCTCCGGCACCTGTCTGCACCTCCCACTCCACACCCATGGGACAGCCTTCCTGTCTTTGGCTCTTCCCTCAAGGACGACACTAAAAGCCTCATGGCCTCTGGCCTCCAGCCCATCCTTCCTGGTGCCCAAATGAAGAACCTCAAAGTGTTTTTTAAACTATGAAAAATTCCAAACCCAGGGAAAATGTAGAGGATAACATGATCGAGACGGTGCACCCACCTGCGGGCCTTGTAAATCTTCGCATTTACCATATGTGCTTCACATGTGATTTTATTAAGAAGTAAAACTTTACAAAGTTCGCTTGAAGCTGTCACAGCATCCCTTCCCAACCCCGTCCCCTTTCCACCCACATCGCTATCCTCATTGGGCCCATATCTTTCCCACACGTGTATTGGTGCTTTACAACTTACATACATGGCTGGTTGAATACATACTGGTTAGTGACGTTTTGTTCATGGTTTTTTTTTAAGATTTTATTTATTTATTTGACAGAGAGAGAGAGATGACAGGTAGGCAAAGAGGCAGGCAGAGAGAGAGGAGGAAGCAGCTCCCCGCTGAGCAGAGAGCCTGATGCGGGGCTCGATCCCAGGACCCTGGGATCATGACCCGAGCCGAAGGCAGAGGCTTTAACCCACTGACCCACCCAGGCGCCCCTTGTTCATGGTTTTTAAGAGGTTTACTGAGGTATAAGTTACATGCAATAAAATGCAGCATTTTAAGTGTATGTTTCAATGATCATTAGTAAATTTACTAAGTTATGCAACAATTCTTTGTTGTGTTTTAAGATCTTATTTATTTATTTGTCAGACAGTGTGCGCACAAGCAGGGGGACCAGCAGGCAGAGGGAGAGGGAGAAGCAGGATCCCTGCTGAGCAAGAAGTCCGATGAGGGGAGCCAATGTGGGACTTGAATCCAGGACCCTGGGATCATGACCTGAGCCAAGGGCAGACACTTAATCAACTGAGCCACCAGGTGTCCCTGTTTTTGTTTTAATAACAGCTTTATTGAAATATAATTCCCATCCCATAAAATTCTCCCATTTACAATCAGTGGTTTTTAGTATATTCACAGAGCTGCGCAACCATCACCACTCTCTCATTCCAGAACATTCTCATCACTCCAAAAAGAAACTCCATGTTATGAGCAGTCACTCCCCCCCCCCCCCCCCCCCCCAAGTGCCTCTGTTTCTGTCTCTATGGATTTGCCTATCCTGGACATTTCTTTCTTTTTTTTTTAAGATTTATCTATTTATCTCTTTAGAGAGAGAGAGAGCATGAGCAGGGATGGGGCAGAGGGAGAGGGAGAAGCAGACTCCCCGCGAAGCAGGGAACCCGACTCGGGTCTCCATCTCAGGACGCCAGGATCATGACCAGAACAAAGGCGGATGCTTAACTGACTGAGTCACCCAGGTGCCCCTGGACATTTCATGTCAATGGAATCATACAGTATGTGGTCTTTTGTGACTGCTCCATCCCTGTAAGCTGCAGACTTTTCTGGAATAACTACTGCTTACCAAACACTGATGCTGGGAGCTTACAGAGAATTTAATAGCAGGCGTGGACAGTTTAGAGTTTTAATTCTGCAACTTCTAGTCTGTGGCTGGTTTTGGAGAGCTGTTGCGGAATGCTAACTGTCTGTGAAACAGACCTGTGTGTCCGTGTGTGTGCGGCCGCTGTGCATTCGCGGTGTTCTGAGGCCAGCCTGGAGGAGGACAGAAGAGGAAGGAGCAGTCGGAACCGGCTGCAGCCTTGACTCAGGGCCGCTCACCATCAGCACTGCCTGTGGGCCGGGCGTGCAGGACGATTACTTTCTCTTTTGCTTCCGAGACAAGCGCTGCTGGAGGAACAGGCGGACGAGCACCTGCAGGGACGCCTGGATGAGATCTACCGCCTCAGGCAGAGCCTGGCGAGCGCGGAGGAGAAAATGGCCTATCTGTCCTACAAGAGAGCCAAGGAGATATGGGTGAGAACCTTGGGGGGGGGGGCTTTTAAGGAAGTGGCCAGTGAGAAGGACGTCAGGGTGAGAGAAGCAAAGGGCGATACCCCTGCAAACTGAGGAGAGACGGACCAGTGGCAACTTGCACGTGTGTCCGCGCCGCAGCATCGGGTCTCTGTGCTCACGCTGCGCCCCGCACCCCGGCCCTGACACAGCCGAGCTGGCCTGGGGCTTTGGGCTCTGCTGTTCTCATACTTGGGGGTGCTTCGGGGCCACCTGGGGGGGTGCTGGTGAGTCATGGCAGCTTCTTCTGGTGCGGGGAGCTCCCTCTGGGTGGCCCTGCTTTTGAGCCTGAGTTAGCAAGCACAGGGTAGGGCCCCCCTCGCCTGTCACGGTTGGGCTCCCCGTCTTCCTCGCCCTCAGCCCGACTCCAGTGCTTGGAGAGCTCCGGCACAGCCAGCCTCTCATCTTCGGCCACACCTGGTGTTACGGGCCGGGACAGGGCCCTTGGCATGGAAGAGCTCTAGGCTCTTGACTTCCCTCCTAAGTCTTCAGCTCGCCCACGTTTGCTGTGCTCCCCTGAGGAGCTCGGGGCAGTGACCGCACTTCACGGGGTGGGGGTGCTGTTCTTGTCACCTGCAGGAGGTCATGGAGACTTTCAAGAACCGCATATCTAAGCTCGAAACGCTACAACGAGCCACACAAGAGGAGATGATGGAGAACTTCAGGACCCGTCCCCAGAAGTTTGTGTCCCGATGCGTGAGCCTGCTCCTCACGCTGGCCGCCGTCTTCCTGGTCTTCGTCTCCACTGTGTGTGCCTGTCCCCTGTCACTGGTGACCTCCCGCCTGCGCACGTGCACCACACTCGTGCTCATCAGTCTTGGGGCCCTGGCATGGCAGAAGCGGCACGTCCTCCCTGCTGCAGACTGGCAGGCCTGGGTCCCCTCCAGATGGAGACTGTCTTCCAAGGACTCCAAGCCTCTATCAGATGGGACTTGAAGCCTGGGTTTGCTAGCTCGTACCGCCTTCTGGGTGTCAAGGACGTCCAGCCAGCCCAACCCAGATAGCCACTTCTCAGCTCCCCCTTTCTGATTCCATCACCACCAGCCCGCCTTGCCCTTCTCTTCCTCGTGACCCTTCGATACCATCTGCAGACACAAGTCTCGGAAGATATTAAAGTGTCTGAGGCTGATCTGGGAACAGTGGATCTGCAGTTCTGTCCCCCTCATGCCCTCTTGTGACCCAGTGACCAGACCCTCAGAGGCTCGGGTGTCCCCAGGCTGCAGTGGTGGCCTCTACGACTTTGTTGCTTTTGGCAAAGAGAAACTACGTTCCTTTCACAGGGATAGAGAAGGGGTGGCGGGGGGGGGTGGCAGCGAAAGTGCTGGTGCGGGGGCAGGGGTCATGTTTCCCGGCGGGAGCAGACCTTGCTGTCGCCGCGGCCGGGCGACACTCATGCAGGTGACACTGAAGACACGGACGAGGCCTCTGTCTTGGAGGCGCTGGAGAGTTCAGAGCTATCGTCCACCTTCTTCCCAAAAAGCTGCAAGATGCAGTTTCGAAACTGGCAGGACAAAAAGTGTCACTCAACAGAGCAGAAAGGGCCATGTACTCTGCTAAAAGTCATTCTTGGGGAATTCTGAGGAAGGTATTCAATAAGGGGCACCTGGATGACTGAACACCCTCTCTTCCACTATTCAGAACCCTGTACGGAGAGTAGAGGAGCCCAAGGCTGTCACTTACATGTGGCGATGGTCTACTCCTGCCTGTTCGTTCATCTGAGTCGTTTAATTCAGAGTATGATGGTGACTGTCGTGGGTCAGATTGTGACTCTGCTCCCCATGTCCCAGAGCTATGTTCGAGTCCTAACCAGAGCCTGTGAACATGACCTTATTTGGAAATAGAATCCTTGTGGATGTGATTAAGATGTACATTACCATGAGGTCATGCTAGAGTAGAGTGGGCCCTAATCCAATGACTAGCGTCATTAGAAGAAGGGAATTTAGACGCAGACTCAGAGAGAAGGTCACGTGGAGGTGAAGGCAGAGATCGGGGTGGCTTGTCTACAGGCCAAGGAGCACCAAGTGTTACTGGCCACCGCCAGAAGCCAGGGTCACCCTCAGAGCCCTCAAAAGGAACCAACCTTGCCCACACCTTGACCTCAGACTTCCGGTCTTCAGAACTGGGTGAGAAAAGAGTTCTGCTGGTTTAAGCCCCCCAGTCTGTGGCACTTTGTTACAGGAGCCTCAGGAAGCTGGTACAAAAATCAAAGATGATGCCAGCTAAGGGGCCCGTGCATAGGATGGCCTGCCTCCAGAATGTCTGGGAAGAGACTCGGAGGCATTTCAGTGAAAAGGCATGCGATTGTCATCTCGTTTCCATTCCATCAGCTTTGAGGACACACAGAACTGGGCTGATAACAGTCTAGCCACTATCTCATGTCTTTAACCACGAGAATCTTCCAGCATCAGGAGGGCCGCCATCTTTGCTGCTTGGCCCTAAAGAGATCTGGAATGTATTCATTTCTCAGATTAAGTCTCATGTCATCACTGAGCTAACCACAGTGCCTTGAGAATGCAGATCAGAGGCATCTCCTGTACATTCCAGGCTTATTCTTGACTACCTCCAGCTCCCTCCAACATCGAAACTCTCACAAAGAAAACACACAGTTACTGAAATCAATAACACAAGAAATGGGCCAAATAGCGGAATTCATTTAGCTGAGGAATTCATTCGACATCCACCTCCTGAGTACCCACTCTGTGCCAGACTGTGTTCCAGAGGGGATCAACAGTGGAGAAAAAGAGTAACGTTCTCTGTCCTCATGGAGCACCATTACGGAAAACTCTCTCTGAATGCAGCAGGAAGAGATGACAATGTGGAAAGGGTGAAAGCAAAGTTTGAAAGCCTGGTGGGGTCCAGAAGTGCAGAAGTCTTGCCTAGGAGAGGGAGTTCTGGAAGGGGAGGATGGAAAGACTCAAGTAAACATAGTACAAGTCAAGATGGCCTAGGCTTTCATAAACAAAAGCCAGACTTAACAAGAGACCCTCGGGAAAGCCAGGAAACAGGAGTCAGGGCTAGAGCTACACTCGAGGTATTGAGGGGCCAGCAATGGAGTCCTGGGGAATCAACTCCAGCACTGGTCCTACTTAATACTTGAACATGACCCAAAGAGTGTGTGCTCAATGAACTCTACAGGGAGTCAGGGCCGGGCCAGAGGGCGTGGAGCCATGGGCCAACCATGAAATGGAGGAACAGAGAAGAGCTAGTTGGGAGGAATGGGAGTTGGGTCTGGTGTAGTGCAAGGCCCCCTCGAGGGTGGTATTTCTGGCCCATGGACCTTTCTGGTCACCATCAAGTCACACGCCCACAGCTGTGCCTTAACGAAGTAGATCTGATGGATTTGAGGAAGAATGGGGCAAATCATACTCAGAAGGTGTGGAGCCTCAGTGGTCCCCTGTAACCTACTGTGAGGTCTAGGGGTCCTGGGCGGTTCACAGCTGAGGCTCCACGTGCCAGCCCCTGATGGCCACCGTGTGCCGAGGCCTTGGGCAGGCACAGCATGTTCCCCTGAACTAACCCATAAAGTCACCGAAGCCACATGTCAGTCAGCCAAGCAGGGCCTCTTGAAGGGTTTAAAGATGGACAGACAGATGACAATTAAGAGGAGAGTTGTGCTTATAAAGGCAAAACGGGCACAGGCAGGGTAAACGGAGACATGTTCAGGCATTCCCTGGGTGTTCGAGCTTCAGGATGGCCCTGAAGCCAAGGGAAGGGAAGGGTAGCAGCATACCGGATGCCCTGTGGTGCCCACCCTTGGGTTGAGACCCTGGAAGAATCCAGAGCGGGGGCTTAGCTGAGCTTTCCCTGGTTGTTGTCCTAGAGGTCATTAACAGGGTCCCCCAGACATGATTCCAGGTGGGGGCCCTCCCTGGGCTCTTCTGCAGTCAATTTCTAGCTTGTCCTGCCGATGATGTGACTTACCTGCCGGTTCATAAAGACATAGATTATGGGGTTGTAGATAGTGGCACTTTTGGCGAAGTAGGCTGGCAGGGCAGCCACCAGGGGGTGGAAGGCGTAGCCAGGGTGGGCAGCGGCGAAGCATGCAAAGAACGCGTAGGGCCCCCAGCAGACACAGTACGCAAAGATCATGACCACCACCATGCGCGTCACCTCCTTCTCCGCCTTCTGGGTGGACTCAGATTCTTTTTGCTGCTTTGCCACCTGGGGGAGACAGAGATTCATGCCTCGAGCTGGGGAGTGGAAGAGTCCCTCTGGGCTCCTACCCCAGGGGACTCTATGGCTATTGTTGGGCAGTAAGTCAAGAAGTCAGCACCCGGATGGAGAGTGATGGAGAGAGGGCGATGGGCCCACCCGTGCCGGTCAGTGGCCAGCTCTCACCTGAGGGAGGCCACAGCTTGGCTTAGGCCGGACAGGGCCGGCCTTGAGGGAGACTTGGAGGTGGCACACAGCTGGCCCTGGAGAAGAGGGCCTCAAGCCAGGGCCTTCCAGGCTCTTGGCTTAGCTGGGCTAAGCCACACAAAAGGAGATCGGGAAGGAGCCAAGGAGGCCATTCTTAGTCTCACACAGTCCCTTACCAGTGTGTCCCCTCCAGCGCTCAGGTCTGACGGGCTGAGCGGGAGGAGACCCAGAGGCTGGACACTGCCTGTGGTGGGCAAGGACACAGCCCAGAGCTAACATGGCTCAAGCCATGGTTGGATTCCTGCGCGAGGCAGCTAGGTTGCCTCTGATCCCCAACTGCCTGTGGGGCTGCGGGTGGGCAAGTGGGGCAGGGGCACATCACAGGCTGAAGGCAGGGAGCTTGTGGCCTTCATTCTAGAAAGACCTTATGGATACAGCTGGCTGCACGGGACTCCCTGGGAAAGGCCAGCTTCCCCCCCAGAGGGGAACCATCCTGGGTCAGGTAGGAAATACAGCTCTGCTTCCTTATTGGGCCCCACGTGAAGGGGGGCTGTCCCCTCCCATCTCGCAGGGGCAAGGATAAGGGAGCCCGGGCTGCAGGGGCTGCTCCCAAGGAACTGCAGGGTTCCTGTGTGGTTTGGGGGCAGGAGAGAGGACTGGGTGATCCTCTGTGCCAGCCCTAAGCTTTCTGGCCCTCAGGATCCTGCCAGGCCAGGGGGGTGGGTGCGGGGAAGCCTGGAGGGTTTGGGGGCTTACTGCGCGGATGGCCAGCCACACTTGGAGGTAGCAGAGTATGATGATACTGAGCGGGATGATACAGCACGTGATCATCAGGACGATCATGTAGGACTGCACCCCCGGGTACGAGCTGCCACTGAACACGTCTGGGCCACACGACGTCTTCAGGCCATGGGGCCAGTACCTGCAGAGAAGGGCTGGCAGCCTGTCCTGACGCAGGCGGGGTGGCCTGGGAACCCCTCAGGCCAGGCGCACCACCGACCTGGGTGGCAAGATGGCTGGGTTTTGTTTTTTTTTTTTTAAGCTCCATCCATTTATTTTAGAGAGGGGGGAGGGGCAGAGGGAGAGGGAGACGGAATCCTTAAAGCAGCTCCCTGCTCATAGCAGGGCGAACACGGGGTTCCATCCCGGGAGCCTGAGACCACGACCTGAGCCGAAACAAGAGTCAGCTGCTCAACGGACTGAGCCAGGCAGGGGCCCCTGGATTGTTTGGTTTCAAAAATTATGGTGAAATTCACATGACATGAATTAACCATTTTTGAGACGAGCAGTTCAGTGGTGTTTGGTGCAATCACCGCCTCTAGTTCTCCAGCACCTTCATCGCCCCCAAAGGAAACCCGTGGGTAGGATTTTGGTAAACCTTTGTCCAGTTCTAGGTCTCATAGCCCCTTCTTCTTCTTTTTTTTTTTTTTACGATTTTATTTACTTATTTGACAGAGAGAGATCACAAGTAGGCAGAGAAGCAGGCAGAGAGTCGGGGGGAAGCAGGCTCCCTGCTGAGCAGAGAGCCCGATTCGGGACTCGATCCCAGGACCCTGGGATCATGACCTGAGCTGAAGGCAGAGGCTTTAACCCACTGAGCCACCCAGGCACTGCTACCCCTTCTTTTTTTTTTTATTGTGGTAAAGTGCTCATAACATCTGAGTCCCCAAAGAAGCGGCCTGGCCAAGACACAAATGACCTACAGGCCCAGCTATACAGACAACCCAAGCAAGCCTCTGAAAGGGAGGCCCCTCGGAATGTTCGAGAAAGAGGCCTGGGGCAGAGTGGTTTAAGGGGCCCTGCTTTCACTTACAGCTCCTCCCAGGACTCGAACTCATTGCCTTTCTCTGTGTGCTCCCACGAGTGTTTCTTGATTGGGGGAAACAGACCTTTCCAGAGCCTCAGAGCCAGCCTCTGCCCAGGCAGACAGATTTATACATTTGTAGACACTGCACCCTCAGAGGGGTCCCAGGGAGAGCTGGGTCCATCCTCGCTTTATTCATGAGGTCACAGAGGCCCAGAAACAGGAAGCAATTTGCCCCAAGGTCCCAGAGGGAATCGGGAGTCTGCCCCTCCTCCACCGTCCTTCACCCTGTGCCCTGAACAAGCTGCCTTCCCAGTGAGCTCACCTGCTCCAGCCAAAGATGGGTGGGGCTGTCCACACAGCAGACCAGATCCAGGAAAAAGCAATGCCTGCAATGGCTAGTTTGGCATCAAACCTCACGTTGCCAAAGGGCTTGCAGACCACCATCCACCTCTCCCAGGAAATGATGGCCAGGGACCAGAGACCCGTGATCCCTGCAGGGGACAGAAGGCAGATGAGGGCTTTGAGCCTCCAAAGTCCCTCCTTCCATCCAGACCAGCCGACACCTACCTGCAACACTGAATTCTCCCCAAAAGTGTATTCGGGTCCAGGGGGCAGTGGGTGTCTTGCTCAATTCCTCTGACACCCCCTTTCCCCATTCTTTCCTCTCAGACCAGTGCCATACCGCTTCCTAGCTCTCTTCCCGTTGGCCACCAGCCCTTCTTCGGACGCCGATGCCCCTCCCGATGGCCACACCCACACCCACGTGACTGCACTGAGGTGCTGTGGTCCCAGCCGAGGGCAAGGAAACATGACATGTCCAGCGACCTGTGCCCCTTCTGCCACTCTGCACGTTTGCTTAGGCTCCCAGATCTCCCACCACTGCCCACCACCTCGCAGGTGGAGATGGTGTCTTCCTGTCCTGCTTACACGCTGGAGGTCTGTGGGCAGCATTCAGGGCTCCATGAACTGGGGCAGGAAAAAAGACAGCGTTGTTTGTGGTAACCTCTAGTGGACACTGGGCATTTCCTTCCGTTATTAGCACAGCGGCATTAGCAATGCCTGGGACTTGGTCACTTTCCAGAGGCGGCAGACATTTCCCAATATCACCACATTCCTTTGCACTTGGCAGTTTCAGGGGCTGTCCGGCCGGATCCAGTTATCCGGTACTTGAATAAAGAGCGGTATCATTCATACTTCTAAATAATACGTTTGCTAATAATTTTAATAAAGGACTATGCCACTAATCAATATTTAATACTTTGATTATTATATTTCAGTATCACTGGATTCCTTTGTAATCCTATGCATCTTGTCATGCACGTTGGTAAACATTCTCCCGAGGAGGGGTCCCCAGGCTCCTTGGCACCCTGTGACTCGAAAACAGACCTCAGTCAGAGACAGAAGTGAGTGGGGACTCCTGACAGAACCAGAGACCGATCCAAGTGGAGATAAAGGTGCACTGAGCACTTGGAACTGGGGATGGATTTTCTCTGCTTCACCTTCCCTGGGCAGCCCTGTCTGTAGCTTTGGGAAAGTGCTGGGCCGTCATCCGTAATGAGAGGCAGTTAGATATGGGGGGGACAGCGTGTGACCCTGCACAGTGAGCTTCACCTCGCCCCCAAGTCCTGCCCCCATTTTACAGATGGGAAAATGGAGGCGCGGTGTGGTAACCTAATTCAGTGGCATTCACTGCGCGAAGAATTCGAATCTGGGGCCAGGGACCCCCCCTCCTTCCCCAGGCCCTTGCCGTCCTTGTGTCTTTGTTTTCTCTTCTAATCTCCACTTCCTCGGAATGCGAACTGGAGATCAGTTTACGTAGCAATTAGGCAAACCCAAGGTGGATGTGGGAACCAAGGACCCAGGAATGATGACCAGATGGTTCTGGGAAGCTTCTCAGACAGAAGAGCTGGTGTGACAGCCGGGGGCCTGGAGACACAGGCTGCGTGTGCCAAGCCCCGTGGCCCTTAGGCTCTCTGTTTTCTTGGATGGGCACCGAGCTGCAACCCTCAGGCCTCTGTTCTTTCATGGGGGCCTGGCCCAAGAGCTCCCGGAGGGGATCTCAGCCTCAGCGGGCCTGCCTGTCCTCCTGTTCCTTGTAGGTCCCAGAGAAAGAAACCTGGCCTTATGGCAGCCCCTCCCACCTGGAACCCCACGTGTGCAGGTCCAGCTCCCGCTCTAGCCTCCGCACCCCTCCTTCTGTCAAGTGCCGGCGGCCCCCGGCTCTCCTTCCTCGACTGTCTGATCCCAGCTCCCCGCTTGTCTGGCTGACTTCAGATTCAGGTCCTCCATTGTCTCCTCCAGCTCCTCTGAGAGAACTGGTGGTGCCATGTGTTCACATCTGGGATAGGGACCCCTCTCGCCAGGACTTGGAACGATCTCAGGGCGGGGTCCCTATACTCTTGCGCCCAGCACGTGGCCTCTTCTTTGCGGATGTCGACCCGGACAGAGCCAAGGCCCACAGAGGTGTTAGTGATGGGGGTGGGGAAGGGGATCTGGGATCTAGTTTCAATATTCCAAGAGCTCGAATGGGACGTGCTTCCTTCCCTGGAGAAAGCTGGCACAGGTGAGCTAAAGGGCACATGTCCCTGACCTGAGCACAAGTTCTGTTTGCCGTGACCAGAGCCCTTCCCTCCCACATGATTCTGGGATTGTCTGGTGCTGTAGCTGTCTCCTCCCATGCCAGCTGCACAAACAGGCCCGTCTCAGGGTAGGCACTCGGGATGCCTGCTTGCTGGACGGCAACCGCCCCACCCCATAATGATTCCAGCTTTGTTCGCCCTGCAGGTCCGTCTCCCTTCAAATATGTACCCTGGGCACACCTCGGGGATTGCAGCATGAGTGTGTCCTTTACACATGGTGGGCTGCGTCTGCCCCGAGCCTGGCTTACCACACAAGGAGACAGTGTAGCCCTCCAGGACACACAGAGGGTGGCCCAGCACGAAGTAGCCATAGATCTGGTTCACGACACTGATGGTGCTGGCAATGATGGTCTCTGCTAGGTCAGCGACTGCCAAGTTCACCAGGATCCAGTTCAGGGGGTGACGCAACTTCTTGAACCTCATGGTGGCTGCCAGCACAAGCCCGTTCGTGAAAACAGATGCAAAGACCACGAAGATCATCCAGGTGCTGGTGAGGTGGTACACCCACCTGGGAGCGATGTGATAATTGGGGCCTTCGAAGGGGCCTGCAAGGCAGGAGGCGCAGAGTGGGGACAGGAGCTGGGGACCAGCATTACCAGCTGCACAGCTATGCCCTCCCCGGCCCTCCCTGCCTCGGCAGAGCGACGCTTGTCCTCCGGAAGCTGAGAGGCAGCTCGGCCCCTCGGGACCACCGTCTCCACGCTCCTCTGTGACCTTCTAGCCGGTATCGGAGCTACCCACGTGCGCGTCCCGTTGTCCATCTCACACGCAGGTCTAGCACACAATTGGTGTTCGGAGAATGAATGAATGAGTTATGAGTCGGATTGTATCCCCCCCTAAAAGACATGTCGGAGTTCTGACCGCCAGCACGTGCGAGTGTAACCTTATCTGGACACAGGGTCTACCCAGAGGCGATCGAGTTATATGAGGTCGTTAGGGTGGGGCCCTGAGCCAACAGGACTGGGTCCCTCTAAAAGGGGGTCATTTGGAAGCAGAGATGGGCACGCAGGGGAAGGCCACGTGAGGAGGGGGACAGAGCTCGACGTGAGGCTTCCCCAAGCCCAGGAAAGCCACCGATGGCCAGTGACCACCAGAAACTAGAGGAGAGGCCTGGAGCCGACGGTCCCTCAGAGCCGCCAGGAGGAGCCACGCCTGCCCACACCTGGATCTTGGACTTCGGGCCCCCTGGTCTGTGAGGGAAGGGATTTTGCTCGTTTGAGCCACTCGGTGTGGGGGGCTTGGTCATGGCGGCCCTAGGAAATGCACACCGATGGAAAAGGAGGGCTAACTCCCCTTTACTACAACACAGTAGTTCTGCACCTCTCTGTTTCGGAAGGACCTTTTTCACCACCATCATTTTTGGCAGAATAGGGGAAGGGGTTATAAGCCAGTGCCCACCACCATCCAACAAGGCCGTGCAGCGCCTGGGAAAGCATCCACGTGGAGCCCCAGGTTTACAAGGACGCCTCCGTGGTGTGTTTCAAAAGCCCAACTCAAACCAGTTTTAGCACCGTGTATTGTGTAAGACTGTTGAATCCCAGACCTGCACCCCTGAAACAAGCAATCCATTATATGTTAGTTAAAAAAAAAAAAAGTAAGGCTTTCTTGGGTCCCCTGGCTATGAGCAATGGGGTAGATCTTGCTCCCCCCGCCAGCACAAGTGGACCCCACAGCAACCACGGCTCCCTGGGACCAGACCCCTGAGTACCGAAGGCCTGCGTGGTACCAGTCTCTGTGCAGAAGGAAGCAGAGGGAAACAATGGGGTTGCTGATAGACTGGGGAACGGAGAACATCCCCCCCAAATTGCCAACAGACTGTCCCCGGAAACTACAGCGGGTCAGTTTGAGAACAGCAGCTGGAACTGGGAGGTGTTTGGAACACTCTGGCTTGGGGATAATTTCAAAATGAGGCCACCAGAGCATCCTTCCCAGACAGTCCATCGAGTCCAAATTGGGCAGGGCAGGGACAAGAGGGGACAAGGCAGTGTGCGGTGGGGGAGGGGAGAGGAGGGCTCTGAAGGTGGGAAGTCACAGAGGAGGGTCATCTACAGGACGAATTTCGTACAGAAATGGGTATCACAGTGAACTCACAGGAGAACAGGTTCTAAAGAAAATTCTGCGGGGAGGGAATTAGGTGTGAGGGCAGACAAGGAAGCAAGATTTCCTTGAATAGACCTTGTTCTCTAGATTTTAATGTGGAATCTTGTAAGTATTTTATTACATAATTTAAAAACAACATTAAATTTTAAGGTGCCCGGGTGGCTCAGTGGATTAAAGCCTCTGCCTTCGGCTCAGATCATGATCCCAGGGTCCTGGGATCGAGACCCGCATCGGGCTCTCTGCTCAGCAGGGAGCCTGCTTCCTCCTCTCTCTCTGCCTGCCTCTCTGCCTACTTGTGATCTGTGTGTGTGTGTCAAATAAATAAATAAAATCCTTAAAAAAATAAAAATAAAAACAACGTTTAATTTTAAAAAAGTAATCCCAGAAAATCCAAAATAAAACAAACAAAACTAAATGCATATCCAGTCAGAGGCATAATCACATAGGAAGGGATTATTCTAAAGGACTTGAACTGGAACTGGAACATTAGATTATTCTAAAGGACTTGGAAAGACAGTAGATAAAAAGACCTGTCCAACAGCTAAGTTTTGGGTAATCACATTGTTGATGGCAGTGTTGGTGTCCTTATTCTGAAACCGTTGTGAGTGTCTTTGAGATCAAGCAAATGAGTAATTAAATGATATTCTAATTCTTCCAGGCAAAGCCCTTGAGAATAGGATTCCTAGTGGGAGGAAAGGAGACACAGAGGTTTCTCCGCTGGGAAACCAAGTCATGACTTTGGAATCGGAGCAATAAAAAGAAAGAAGGGGCGTTTCTCTCGCCTTTCCTATACACACTGTGCCCCTGGGGAGCCCAAGAGTCGATGAGGGCATTCTTCCCTCTGTCAAAGTACTCTAGCTATGGATGCACGTGGGGTAAAGGAACCAGAATGAGAGCAGCTGCCAACACCCCAGGAAAAGGGACGCCCTCCTAATGGAGAGCTGTTGCCGAAACACCCAGCGGATCGAACTGGCCTCCAAGCAGATCTTCTGAGTTTGCACAAACGTAATGACAAACGAGGTGGGGGAAGCCACCCGTGGGAAACCGCCGGCGAAGTCTGAAGTGGACGAGCCCAGGGACGAGCGACCCCTTTCCTTCAACAAATCAGTTACAAGGAGGTAGAGGGGGAGCCTCGAAATTCAAAGAGGATGAGAAGAGAGCGGTCAATCTGAGCGTGGCTCAAGCAAAGGGAGAACAAAATGTGTGACTTTTCTTTCAATACTGACTAGGAGATTGGATGATACCGAGGCGATGTTACCTTCTGAGTGTGACAACGGCGCTGCGGTTACGCTTCTAAAGAGTCCTTTTCCCTGAAGATTTGCAGAGGAAAGGGTGTGATATCTCAGACCTGCTTCTGGAAATCGGGGTGAGGGGCGTTACACACTGGCCTCCGCTTCAGTCCGTACTTGAGTTTGGGGATTGGACAAAACGGAACCTCAGGCCTCAGTGAAGCCCTAGGGTCCTCCGGGGAGAGCACTGTCCTCCACCAAGGACATGGCGGGATGTGGACAATCGGGTCAGTGCAAACTTCGGGGGTCTCAGTTAGTTCGGCCCAGGAACCCTGGCTGTCAAGGAGCTGGTGTGGCTTCTGGACACCACGGCATGTGAGACATTCCCGAAGGAACAGATGGTCTTTGGTTTGGAGGAGCGACTGGGGAAGTGGGGCCAGGGGCCGGGGTCATCGGTGTCCTCAGCTCTTTCCAGGGCTTGCGTGCAGAGCTCTCGGACTGGCCCACTCCCAGGGCATAACTCACGCTGCCCCTGCAGAGGAAGAGCCACCCTGGGAGCCACACGAGCCTCGTCCCCAAGAAGGCACAGCCAAAGGCTGCGGGCGCCGGGCGCATGGTTGGACAAGATGACTTCCGCTGTCCCTTCCAACCCTAAGCTTGGAGAAGTCACTCACCCTCCTCCGGGTCAGCTGCCCAGCCTCCCACTCCCACTGTTTGCCTCCTTTTGGCTTCGGGAGAAGCTTCCCCAGGAAGCTCAGGGCACTGCATCCAGATAGATGCACCAGAACTGAATGTAATGAATGCTTGTTGGCAGCTTGGGACCGCAACAAAATAGGTAGTGAATGTCCCTGGGACAGGGATTCTCAAAAGGTCTGGGAAGTCTGTGTGGTTTGAAAATGCTGGTTCCATATTGTGGTGTCCTTTTATAATCAGAAAGCCCCCCCCCCATTTCACGTCATCATAAAGATTAAGCGAGAAGACCATCTCGGCTGAGGACGATGCGCGGAAGAGAAGTCTCGCAACGGGGCTGGGAGGCCAGCGGCCCCCTGTGTGGCCACTAAGGCCCAGTGTCCCTGGAAGGCTGCTCCAGCCAGTGTGACCCAGCCTTCACAGTGCCTGCTCGCTCACCTCTGGTGGCATTGCTGTTGGTGTAGGTGAAGATGCTCGCCTGGGTGCTGTCCTCGTAGCTGGGCTGCGGGTGTCCACCTGCAAGCCTTTGGGGGCCCCACCGCTGGGTCATGGCTCCAGAAAGCCGTGTCCTCAGTGCCTGTCAGCCCTGGTACTGCCTGGGGGTCATGGCGCTTTATACCGGCCCGTGGGATCAGCCCAGGCTTCCTCACCTTAAAAGCTCCCAAACCCTTCCCCACCTGATCTCTTAATTGGGCCTGGGACTTAGACCTCCTCCTCCCCCACCCCTTGCCTCCTGGCTCCTAAGATGAGCCTGCAAGGGCGGCTCAGAAGGATTTTCTGGGAACCCAACTCGGAGCCCCCAGCTTGCGCAGGTGGCTGTGGGAGCTGCCATGGGCCCTCACCCGTGTTCACACTCCCTTTCCTCCCTACCGTCTGGCACTCGCTCTTAGGTCAGCTGGACTCAAGACCTCTGGATTGTGGCGTGGGGTAGTGAAGCAGCCCAGAGCCTAGACCTGCCTTTCCCGCCGGGTTTGCCACAGAGCCCTGGGAGGTGCCGTGCTGAGGCCTGGAAGGGGGGCCCCGAGGGTCAGGCCATCTCACGGACTCAAGTGGATGCCAGCTGTGCTAGCGGGGCTCCCCGAGGAAGGGGGACTGGCGTGAGGCGGGGAGAGGCTGCACTGCGCATCTTGCTTTCCAGTGCCTGCTCCCCCTTGCTCCCCGCGCTCCGCATGAGCTACGTCAGCAGAGGGCTTGTGGGGCGGCAGGGGCTCATGGGGGAGCCCCCGAAGGCGCCCACACGCATTCACATTCCACCTGCTCAAGTCTCTGTCCCCTGAGTTCATAACCTTTCCTTGGACCACTCCCGACCACACCTCCTTCAAAGCAAACCTGTCAACAGAGGGTTCCGCCGGGCCGCCGCCTGGGCCTGGCCGCGCTCCAGTGACATGCTGATCGCCCACGTCCGCAGCCCTTGTCCCCGTCTACAGGGGAGCACATCTTCTCTCATGGGTCCTGCCGGCTCCTCTCTACACAGTCCTGAAATTCAGCTGCCTCCGTCACCTCTTTTGGGCTGGCCTGAAACTCAGGAAAGCCAAGACCTGGGCACATGACTTCACCTCCCTACTCTCAGTGCCATGACTCAGCAGCACCCCAGGCTGCGGCTCCTGGTGACATGGCTGCCGCTGCAGGTGGTGGAGGGAAAGCCTTGGCTGCCTCCCTGGGGGCCGGAGCTCCGTGGGGCCCCAGGGTGGCCACCCAGAGTGAGAATGGCTCCTAGCATGGGTCAGCGTCTGCCGCATGCCTGGGGCCAGGCTAGGAACTCCGTGTGGCATCGAAGGAAGGAGTCCTGACCACAGTCTTGCCAGGCCTCACTGGCAGCCTGGAAAGCTGGGCTCACTGCCCCGGGGTAGGTGGACAGCCCAGGGAACGCGTCCCCAGCACTTACACTCCTAGATATCTGCTGAAGAGAAGTGAAGATATATGCTCCGGACGTGTATGGGGACACTCAGAGCAGCACTGCTCACCGGAAGCCAAAATGTAGAAACAGGAGAAAAATGAATGAATGAACAGAGCGCGGCCTGGCCGTGCAGCGGGGCGCCGTGCACCATAGCCAGGGACAGAGCCCCGGCCGCGGCGCCAGAGCCGGCCTGCGGAGTAGGACCCAGAAATCCCCATAGTGGATGCTTCCACGGAAAGGAAATGTCCAGAAGAGGCAAGTCTGCGGAGACAGAAAACAGATGAGTGGTTGCCAGAGGCGGGGGTGGGGGTGGACAGCGGGGAGTGACTGCTCCTGGGAACAGGGGTTTTTTTTGGGGGGTGATGGAAATATTCTAAAATTTGGCTGTGAAGCCGCAGCCCCAGTGGAAAGCAGCCTGGCGACTCCTCATATGGCCCAGCGGTACTTCCAGGAACTACCCAAGAGAATGCGAAGTGGGGGCAGCTTGCATGAGCACAGCAGGTTCAAGGCGCCTTGTGAGGCGCGGGCCTCATAGCGTAGCTTGATGTGACAAGGTTTTGTGACTTCCCGGTTTACACCTTTCCCTCCTCCTGGGTCCCAGGGAGCTTTGTCTGCCCGTACCCCACCAGGGTCAAAGAATCAGAGCCTGTGAGAATGTCGGAACTAAAAGTGGACCTCCTGGGGGCACCTGGGTGGCTCAGTCTATTGGGCAACTGCCTTCGGCTCAGGTCATGATACTGGGGTCCTGGGATCGAGTCCCACATTGGGCTCTCCGCTCAGTGGGAAGCCTGCTTCTCCCTCTGCCTCTGCCTCTCCTCCAGCTTGTACTCTCTCTCTCTCCCTTGCTCACTCTCTGTCCCTCAGATGGGTAAATAAAATCTTTAAAAATATAAAAATAAAAGTGGATCTTCTCTGAGGTCACCACCGAACCTGGCCCCTTCTGAGCACCAGACATGGGATGGCCGCTGCCCAGCACCACCAGGGACTGGCAGGATGGCCTTGGACGGGCCGACCCCTCCCTCTCAGGCCAGGTTCACCCTCTTTCTGCGGGGAGATGACCAATCCTGCCTGCCCCCGACCCCACCAGATGACCAGGGACATCCAGGGCCACCCTGTTGTGTGGAAGGGACCATCTCAGTGGGGGTCTGGCAGAACTGAAGCAGGATGTGTGCGGGAGCCTCCCTCTTGGGCCCCAGAGCTGGCCCTTGTTTAGATTACCCTGATGACAGAGCTGGGTCTGCCCGAGGACCCGGGGAGGGGGCGGGGGGAGGCGGAGGCCAGAGGAGCTGGAGTCAGTGGTGAGCCCTGGGCTGTCACATCGCTGGGAGTGGGGTGCTAATTGATGATTAGGGCTAACAGAAGATCAAGTCTCATTTTAGCGTAAAGCAGATTACTGCCCCGGAAAGTCACCTAGCACCTGGACGCCCACGTGCGCTTCCTGAGGCCCGCACTGGGTCCCCAGGGAGGGACACTGGAGAGGGGGATGAGTCCGAGGAGTTGGGCCAAAATACGCGGAGCAGCAGGAGGCACAGGAAGGGGAGGGGCCTCTCACAGCCGAGGGGCTCAGGGCTCTGGAGGGCCACTCTGCGCGCCAGTCGCCAGTCGCCACACCCTCGCTGCCAGGCTGCAAGAGGTACTCTGACCCCGCTGCTCCCAAGCAATGTGGCGTGGGGGTGCCGAGTCCGCGCCCTGCATCCCGCAGGCCAGCGGCTGTGTCAGAAACAGCTCAGGCTACAGGGCAAGGGACTGTTGGCTCATTTGTCTGTGACGTTTTTGTGTGTGCGATGAAACGTACATCAGGTCAAATTTCCCATGTGCACCACTTGCACGTGTACAGCACAACACACCGTCCGTCTCCAGCACACTTCCCGTCGTCCCAAGCCGGAACTCTGTCCCCATTAGACACTGCCACCTCCCCACAGCCCCCAGCGCCTCACAGAGGTGGGCTCCTACGGTGTGGTGTCTGTCCTTTCGTGTCTGCTTTCTCTCAGCTGGCGTAACATTTTCGAAGACCATCCATTTCCTTTGACGTTCAAATAGATTTACATACATCGACTTTTAATTTTTATGTGGCCAAATGCAACTCCGTTTCCTTTTTGGTTTTTTGGTTGGAAAAGTTCTCCCATTGTGAGTTCCTCAGAGATCCGCCAACACGTACCATGTGTAGAAAGTCCAAAGGCAAGGGTTGGACAGTTTCCCCGTTCCTGTGACTGTCCCATGGCATCTGCTCACCTCAGAACCCGACAACAAGCAGATTTGCTTCACCCTCCAGCTGACCAAGTCCCCCTCCGGCCAATGTCCCCTTTGTGATCCAATCTCCATTCTCTTCAGCTCAGGCCCCTAATCTCCCCCCATCTGCTGTGGGCCTCCTGGAGCGCTGTCACGCCTTCCCTCTGTGACCTTGAGCAAGTCAGTCACCATCTCTGAGCACGTGTCCTTATCAGCAAGAGGGCATGACACGTACTTGCTGTAAGGCTTGAAGGAGATCATCCTTTGGGAAAGTTCCAGCACAGTATTTGGTAAAGAGAATTCAGTCAACCATGCATTCCACAGATAGTCATCGAGCACCTGGTGGGGCCAGGGAACAAACGCATGGACATCCCTGCGTCTCACAACTGCCGTTCTAGCAGGGGAAGAGAAAGTGACCACCAGACATCATAAGTAAGCTGTGACAAGTAGGATGGAGAACAGGAAAAGGGAAACGGGACACAGGGGTTGGGGGTGGCAGGGTAGAAAGGGAACGGGTGTCCATTTTCATAGGGCATCCGGGGTGCCTCTCTGAGAAAAGGCTATGGGAACAAAGACTTAAAGGAAGGAAGGAGGGGGCCATGTAGAGATCTGAGAAAGACAACCCAGGAGAGAACCAGCAAGTAAGTGCAAAGACCCTGGGGCAGGAACATGCCTGGAATGTTCAAAGAACAGTATCCTCCCTGTTCTGGAGACCAGGGTAGCAGGAGCAGAGTGAGTGGAGACTAGAAAGAAGAAAGGTCAGAGAGGGAACGGCAGCCAGAGCATGTGTGTCCCGGAGTCCATTTTCCACATGTTGGCTTTCACTGGGAATGACGCACAAAGCCCTGCACGATTTTCAGGGAACCGTGACACGATGTGACCTGGCTGCTGTCCTGAGAGGGGAAACAACTGAGGCAGAAGTGGGGCAATCGGGTGAGAAGCACTCAGGGGGTGCAGGTGAGAGACAGTGATGGCTTCACCAGGGAAGGGCCAGGCCAGCAGGATAGGCAGGAGTGTCAGGTCCCCGGAAGCTTCTGCAGGTAGAGCAAACAGGATTTCCTGGGTGGCATCGGCGGAAGCAGTTGGAGAAAGGGAGGAGCCAAGGCCGACTCCAGAGTTTGCAGCTTGAGCAACTAGGACGGAGGTTGTCCTCAGCCGAGAAGTCGGGGCCACGGGCAGTGGGGGTTCGGCTGGCGGAGGGAGGCTGTGAGCACCAGGAACGCAGGTGTAAACCGCCAATGTCAGGAACAAACAGGGCCTGTCCCTTTGACCCACAGATGTTACTCAAAGAGACTATGCGGAACAACTTATCCCAATCGATGTGAACATTTGGGTGAAAAGGACCAACTTCTAGAAGAACCCTAGCTTACCAAAATGGGCTCAAGAAGTAGAAAATCTGAAGAGTTCTGCATCTACGGAGACGC